ATTTTGTAATGGCTTCAGACCTCAACAGCTAGTGCTTTGCGCATGCCATGAGAGATTGCTAGTCTTCATTTTGCATTCTTTAGGTATGTTATCTTAAAGGATGAATAGATAGAAGAAACAAAACTCACTCCATCTTCTGCTACGGTGAGTGTTTCTTTGTCACAGGGAATCCTGAACACATAATTGAGAAACCTCATATGCTCACATGACCATTAATTCCTTGTACCAGCTTTTCACTTTCTCAATTGATGTTTTGGTTTTCTGTATGAAGCTGTGATGCTTAGAAAATCCTGAGCTGCATAGCTTTGCTCTGTCACTCTCTCAGGTGCAGTTGCTCAGATGTCTGCTAAGTACCAATTTCAGATCAGTTTGCAACATCTCTCCTTGCTCTAGAAGCGGAGTCTGACATCCAAAGACAGACATAATTCTCTTAGGCTGCATGAAGGATATTTATGTGACTCCTCATACACAAAAAAAATCAAGTTTTAAAACATCCTGTCATCCTTTCATTTCTTAATGTCCTACTTCTCACATGTGCTCATTCTTATTTAACTCCCATGAAACCAATTTCCTATTGCACTGCAGATCTGAGACAGCACAAAAACATGAGACGGTCTGTGGTTGAAGAGGGATATGTCGATTCAGAAAGATAATCATGAAGGTTCAAGTCCATAAGAATTTTGTCATGGCTTTAATTACTGCCACAACAGGCTTCTCATGATGTGTTTCACATCTGAAGGTTGAAAATCAAATATATTATTATCTCAGTAAAATAATAACACTTAAATATGTGGTCATGTGTTATTGTCTCTGTTTGGTCCTTTCTACTTTGGCAATATGAGTCTGCTCTTCATGCTCTGGATACTGAATGATCTTTTATGTTATTTTACTGAAATGCCTATGATTTCATTGAGCTATTTCCATTCACTATGCTATGCAATGATGTAAAATGTTATGCACATTAATCTGATGCCAATATATAGAAAAATAGCTTCTTTTACAGGAAACAGGTTCCTTCACTGTTTAGTACAAGCAAGTGGTACATAAGGCTGCTGTAATACTGCTAGGCTTGCATATAATCAATATTAAAAGTCTAAAGGAAGCAGACATTGATGTAACTGCCTGCATGCCCAGCATCAAAAGCACCACCAAGCTTACCTATCACAAAATATCTAATCAGAGATTGTATAAAATAGCTGATGTAGACCTTAAGGTCCAGTTAGTCCATCCTCCTGTCTCAAGGAGACCCTATTCAAAAAAATCTTGCAATGAAATATAACCTCCAGTGCTTTATTATTATTAAAATTCAAATATTTCTTTCCCCATGTCTAGCTTAAAAGTCTTATTGTTGCATTGTAAGTCTGTTATTTCTACTCCTGTACATGATGGACTTGGAGAACCAATTATTTGCTTCCACTTGACAGCAACCTTTCATGATTTTGAAGAATATCCCTCACACTCTCCAGACAAAATTATAAACTCAAATTCTTCCAAAATTTCTCACAGGTCATATTTTTCTGTTTTCTCTTCATTTTTGTGGTTTCTCTCTAAAGACTCCAGCTGTCCCTCATTTTTTCTGAATCTGGTGCCTAAAATCATGAATGAAGCAGAAATATTGTTTCCTGTGTTTGCAGTCTGTACTGCTGTTTACAAAGAGTGCTATTTTCCTTATTCACAGCAGCATATTGTTGATTCATGCTCAATTGCAATCCACTATAAACTCCAAATTTTATTTTAACTTAATTCAGCATGTGTATGGGTATTTATTCCACCAGACACTCTGCTCATCATTATTGAATTCAAATCCCTGCAGTCTAATACCATTCTCCAACATGATGGCAGTCTTTACAACCATTGTAACATTTTCAGACTTGAAAGACATATTCTCAATTCCATCATTCTGTCATGTATATCCTATATATCCATATAAATGCATAACTATTTACAAATATATGCATGCAAATACAGATGAATATTCCTTAAGGCATGTCACAGTTGAATATTTGGGACATTTAAACTTTCATAGCTTGTATAAGGTTATGTGATAAAGAGCTGGGCTCCAGACAGACAAAGGAGTCCAGAGGAGCAAGAGCAGCCAGTGGAAGCCAAATAATATTGTGATTTGCCTCCTCTGTGTCTAGTAGGGGAATCAGTGAACTGTGAAAGTCTCCTCCTCATAACTCCCCTCACAAAGTCAGGGAAACAAGTGTGGTTATGGGAAGGATCAAGTGTGGAAAAATAGAGAGAGAAGGGTATGAAAGGAGCCAATCGCACTCAAATAGGTGTTGGTCTGTTGACGCCTGAGCCTGATCAGTGCAGTCTGTCTCATCTTCTCATTAAACTCCATTTCTAGTGATTGCTCTTGGTGCAGAGATACCTGAGCTGTGTTATGTGTGTGGAGGGTCTGAGTTCTAGTGGCCGGGGTGGACCAAGGGTGGGAGGCCCTCATGCCAGTGGTGCCAGTATGGGGCGAGATGAGGATGCATTATCAGTGAATGACACTGGTCAGCACCAAGCCGGAGCAGCTGGCACATGGCTTGAAGGGTGGGGTGAGGGTGTCCCCAGAGGTGATACTAAATATTTCCCAGTTACATATTTTCATCCTGATCAGCCAGTGAGAGGAACAGGATGAAGTCACTGGTGCCATTAGTGTTTATGTGAGTGCCAAGTGGGTTTGCCTATGTTGATATGTGTGGTCAGTCACATGTATATGGATGCAACGTATTCTCTGTGTGTGTGTGCTCCCAGGGGGAATGCATGCTTGGCCTTGCTGCTGGATGGAGCTGGGGCTTACATGCAGCTCTCGGTTCTACCTCATCTGTAATTTTATTCTCACAGATCTTCTCCATTGGAACATAAGGTCTGCAGTCCTAGGAAACTTCACAGAATCTTTTTGGAAATGTAGCTGATGCAGAAACATTTGGCTGTATCTTTAGACAACATGAATACAAAAATATAGTTAAGATAATAACTGAGGAACAAACGCCTTTGTTTTTGTTGATAGCTGTCTGGCACTGGTCTTGCAGAATACGTACCAAATAATTAGAACAGCCAGCAAAATTTTCCAGCTTGTCAATATAGGTAAGAACTTCTTCACAGTTGATACTCAAGATGAGGAGGAGGGAGGGACTGAACTAGTGAAAAGAAAGGAAATGAAGACCTTAACAGCCAAGAGAAATAAAGCTGATCTAATCTGGTTTTGTTTCGCTTCTTTTTCGGTTTCTCTCTTTCTTTCTCCTTTTGTTGATGTGTGTTTGTATTTTTGTCACCAAAATTAATTAAGGCCAGTAAATTTCTTAAACTCATTTCAGTTTTCTTAATTAATTTGAAAAAAAAAGATTTCTAGCTACTCTTTTCAATCACCATATGCCAATCAGAATAATTGTGAATTTACTGCAACTAGCACCCAAACTGCATTAGTTTGAACTATGATAAGTCCAGAGACCTATAGAACAAAGAAAGATCAGAGGATATGTAGACAGTAAAGTGTTCAGGGAGTCTACAGAGCATTAAAGAAGAAGGTTAGACAATAATAGTTTTCACAGGGGTTGAACCTATCATATAACTGATAGGCAGCAATGTGTCTTCAAAGAGCTATAGACATTTTCATCTTGTCTGAAGTTCTGACAATTACATAGTTTTAGCTGAAATGTTTAAAGATCTTTTGTGTGATTTGTTAAATTTTTTAAGTACTATCCGATGTGAAGTAAACTTCAATAAATGTGAAAATATGTCTGCATATTAATCTGCAGATGAAAATGGGTTATTTTTCAAGTTCTTTTCACTTACAATGTTTGCAGAAGCTTTGCTGCACTTTCACAGTGTATTTATAAGAATTATATATTTAGAGTATTAATTGTATAGTGTTTGTAATATAATTACATAGCTTCAAATAAATGTGGCAATCAACACTAACAATGATTTACCATTTTTGAGAAATGAATGAAACATTGCCTTTAGATATCCCAATATAATTTGTATAATTTGACTGAATATCTACTTCAGAGAGATGCACAAGGGATGTTTATATAAAACAGTCCTGAAAGAGAAATTAAAAATAAGAAATATGTACTCAGTTTAATAATAAAGACAAGCTGCATCAAAAAAAAAAATCTCATTAGCTTTCTGAAAAAAATTATGACTTATATAATAAACTTTCCAGCTATAGAAGTACCCATTCTTTAGTATTAGAATTATAGGACAATCCAAATCATATAGACTCACAGAATCATTAAGGTTAGAAGAGACCTCTATGATCATCAAGTTCAACCTAACACCACCATGCCCACTAAACCATATCCTGAAGTGCCACATCCACATGGTTCTTGGACACTTCCAGGGATGACTCCACCACCTCCCTGGCCAGCCTGTTCTAGTGTTTGACCACTCTTTCAGTAAAGAAATTTTTTCCTAATATGCAATCTAACCTGCCCCTGGTGCAACTGGAGGCCATTTCTAGTTGTTCTATCACTAGCTACATGGAAGAAGAGAACACCCACCTCACTACAAACTCCTTTCAGGTAGTTCTAGAAAGTATTACAGGTTTGTTTCTTTTCTCATATGCCGTCAATGATAACGATAAAGTTTTCATTCAGTTACTAAAGAAACTAGTTGAATGTAAAAGATTAAAATATTTTATTGAAAGTTTTAATAATTTCTTATCCAAGGAAGCACAGGTACAAACACAACATTTCAAGCATTTTACTGCTCCCAGAAAAACTGAACATTCAAACCTTCTACAACCAGTTATTTCAAACCAAAATAATGCACAATGCACTAGTGTTTGAGAGTTTTTAAAAACACTAAACAAACCAACCAAACAAAATACAAAAACTTTACACTTAATGTAGTATTTTTAACATGAAGATGTCACATGTATTTGCTGATACGGTATCTGATGTTAAAGCACACTTGGTAAAGCTCTGACGGGTGATGGTATAACCACTGCGACTCTTTCTGGTTAACCTTCACTTCAGTGTTTTTGCACCTGAACATTTAGATCACTCTTCCTCTCTCTGGAGTGGTTTGCGCTCTGGAGGTAGCATTGGCTGTAACTTCTGCCAGCGTTGTGGAGGCCAGAGGATATGAGTAGCCCGAGCATGTAGAAGTCCAAGAGAAACCTGTAACCAAAACATAAACCAGAGAGATTATTAAATACTGCAAATAAAATAAAATGTAGAAAACACAAAGCAGATGATGACTTGTTAGAGCAATGAGAGAATACAAAGTAGAGAACTTTGCATGCATAAAGAGTGTCTCATGCATGTAATGGTAGGAAAAAAAAACCTGCTTCAGTGACAATTTATCTTTTCTTTTTTGATAAAACATTTTGCAGAACTCAAAACACCTTGGTGACATGCACTGGCTGTAACAAACATTAACTAGGAAATTATTTTCAGGTTCAAGAAAAACAGCTGGTCAAAACAGGTGAAGCATTCTATAATTCACTGAAAGCTTTTGGTTATAAGTTATTCTGGGTACAGCTGAACAAGGTTAAAGTACCTTTTCTGAATAAGTTAAACAGAATCTCTGTCTTGGATTTGTGCTGTGTACACTAACCACACCAGGATAGCAGCTTTTCTAAACATGCTGTGCTTTCTATTGCTCACTGCCCTTCAAAATTCTATTGTTTCTCCAACCAAAAATGGAAATTACCATGAATCATAAATATTTCCCTGAGGATGAAAATGTATTTCTGATAGAATTATTTGAAAGACATCTACAGATTGAATATTTTATAAGTTCTTGGACTACTTACACTTCATTCATATGTTTTGTAAATGTATTTTACCATCTTTTTATTTATTCTTTTTTTCTTCAATAATTTTACTTCACTAATGTTTTACTTAAAAAAATCAAAATAAAAGTCAATACTGATATTACTTACAAATGAATCACTTATAGGTGGCATAATTTATAAAACTGAATTGTTTAGAAAACCTTAAGAAAATTATAAACCGGGCTCTTTTCAAATATGGTATGACATGGCTAGACTAAGAATAACTGAGAATAGAACAGTTACATTTTCAGATTGAGATAATAAGACAGGCATTGTCCATACTTAACATTGAAATTAAGTAACTTGATATGGACTTAATCTCACTTAATTTGAAAAACCTGCAGGATAGACTTCTGCATCTTAAATTAGTTTAGGCTTGTGAAGACAGCGGCAAGTAATAAGCTTTCCACCAACTGTACAGTATCCAGTGCCAATAGAAAAGTGACAAACACGACAAAAACATGGTTAGAAATAATGGAATGTCTTTATATTTGAAAAGATTAAATAATTTAAACTCCTGGAGAGACAACAGGGTCAGACATCTATAAAATTATGAATGGCATGGATAAAGAATGCATAGGCTTTATTTTCCTATTATGTCACCATTTCTTATAAGAATGAGGAAATATCAGACAACATTATCCTAAAGAATTTTTGAAGCCGACAGAAAGGAAACGCTTTTTCAGAGTGACCATGATTACATCATAATTGCATACATTATACTGGATACTGAAGACACCAGAAAAGATTAACTGGCTCAGAAAGTAATAATAGAAGCAAAGTACATCTCACCAAAATGAATATAAACAAAGTAACAGTGTAGTCTCTATGCTTCACATTAGGAAACACTGAGGGAAAAATTATATACTTACGCTCTAATGATCTGGTATTGGCTGTTGTCAGAGCCAGGAGTTAAATGGATTTCTGGTTTGAATCTGTACATTCCTGCCTAAATTTTTACGTAAACTCAGTTCTTCAGTTCCATTCCATTACTCATCACAAAAAAAAAAAGTTATTTCAGTAAGCAGGTAATTCAGCATTTTATGCAAATAGACACCAAATAGGCCCCTAGGAATATCCTCACCTAATTTCCTTGATTTAATTTCATAGGATTAATGTATATTCACCAGTCTCTCTCTCTCTCTCTACTATATAATCAAATCAGTGAAGCTGAAGTGGTCTATATCTAATTCCATATTCTGTAGTCTGATGAAGCAGGTGCCGAATTACTTGAATATAATTTGGTTACTGAATAACCCACAATATCTAAAAGAATCTGAAGTAGATCACTGAAATAGCAATCTAGCATCATATTTCTCTTGTTTGATACCTTGCAGGGATGACCTTTTTCCCTAATCCATTGCAGCTTTTTTCCTGCATTAAAGCAAAGGGCAGGCTGCTAAGTGACAACTTTGTTTTGATAGAATTTAGCTACATTTTTTAAAGTCTTGACATACTTCTGTGTAGTTTGTTGGGTATTTCTGCAATTAAGAATATCCTTTTCTTAATTATCCCATAAAGTGGTCTGCAAATGTAATACTGCCATGGGGATTTGTTCCCTGAGTATACAGCATGATGGTACATACATTACAGACTGGTGCCAAAACATAAAACCACAGCAAACCCCATCACTGCCTATAAAATGTGACAGCATTAGTATAGAGAAAAATGTTAACATACTCTTCTCAAACACAAATAACATCCCATTTTCAAAGCTCTGTGTTCTTTTCAGTGCATTGCTTGTTAGTGCTGTCAGTAGGAGGTCTGCACTCAGACCGAGAATATAATAAATGAATCAAAACCTGTTTGAAGCTGAGGCTGGGAATAATTTTGCCTAAAGGATTACTTCTACTGACCATCATCTGACTTGAAACTAATAAAGAAATATCCTTCCTATAATCCTGATTTACAGGCCAACATGACTAGTGTTAAAAAGGAAAAATGGGTATTGTTGGGTGTTGGAAGTTTTTACTAAATAACAAATGACACTGATGCTATACGGCTTCTTTTACAATAACTTAAAGGCTCACTTTAAAAGGACCTTGATGTTTGACTTCTGAAAACAACCTTAACAACTTTTGTCTGTTGCCTATTATTATTTTGTAGTTACCACAGCAGCCATGAATGTCACTGAGGAAGAACAGAATTGTTTGCAGATAATAACCTGCTCTTGTTAATGGGTTTACACTCATCAAGGTTAGATATGGACAAAAGGTGAACTGAGAGGCTACACCTCCTGTTGCAACAGTGAAATACTGAAATAATCTATTAAAAAGAGATTAATCAGTTCCCTTACAGACATAATTTAATTTATTTACTTAAGAAAATAAGTTTAACTCCTTGAAAGTCAGTATTGCACAGGCACAAATTCTTAGAGGAACATATTACATTTACAGACACAAGTAAGAGATGCCAGCAATCTAAATAGTTGATTTTTATTTCTACATTATGATCTATTTATTATTCTTGCTGTGGCAACAACAGACACTATGTTGAGTTGAATCCATATTATGCTCCCTAACCCGAACTGTTCAGGCAATAATTCTATTTTTTTAATCTCTGAATATTTAACAACTGAGAAGTCATTCTGTTAACACAGCAATTTTATCTGCAAAGTAAGTTTTGAATGAATAATACTGTTTTGACACAGTTACTGTGCTAAAAGCATATTTCCTTAGAGTCTGCTTGTTAGTATGTTAGCTGTGTGGAGACTGATTAGTTTTGGCACTGCATTAG